AAAATAGAAAAGGCTGGCTCTTGATTTTCTTAAAGCAGGACTATGTTCACTCTCTGGATACAACGGAAAAAACATCCACCTGTTCCCCCTCTTAATAAAATTTGGTCTCACGAGGCAGGTAAGGCCACTGCTCAGGCCTAAATCTTTAAGTGTGCCTGTTCTGCATTCAGCAGTTCGCAGCTTAACTTCTGCCTGAGTGAGAAATTTTATTCATGTCTTGGAACACTCCTCATCAGATTTTTCTTCCACTGATTTGTCCCTTCATTCTTTGAACATAAATAATACTAAGTTTAAGTGACAAACAAAGCAGTTCCAAAATCAATGACAAATCATCATGAAGACAGTTGTTATAAACACGACCACGACTTATATTATGTTTAGTTACACATGAAGCAATAGACACGACTGATGTAGTGTACAGAGTGATTCTCTAACAAACACAAGTATCCACTTTTAAGTGTTTTGGAGTTTAATCTACGTGCTTTAATATATCTTCTAAAAATGTAAGCAAGAACACAGGAAAGAGTTCATAAGCCTTGTGTCCCAGTTCTAAGCATGACCATCATTTATATGACTGAGTGTAAAAGTGGAAAACTGCAGACGGCAGAAACGATTAAGAGCAGTAATGAGTTTTAAGACAGGACTTCTGAGTTCAATTATGCAGCATCTACCCTTCTCACTTGGACGTATAGGTACCCTGTCTGCATACGCTACTCAGGTATATTAAATACATTGATTAACTGCTATCCAAGTGGAAATCACCCGTTATCCCTCAAAAATTGCTTAAAAGGTAATACAGGTAGAACAGAACTATCTTGATCAATCTACGTCTGATACTTTTCCTGAAACTTAACAGCAGTCTTGTTACTCAGAATCTCTGCTGGCTAACATTAGGAAAAAAAAGAAAGTGAAATTATAGGTTTCTAAACTGCTCTGTAAAAGGAAGAGCAGTTTCTTAAACTCAGTAACCATTTACTGAGAACAGACACTGCAAAGACTTAACAATAGTTTAAAAAAAGTCACAGTCTATGGGAAAAAGCACAAAGCAGACTTGATCTGTCCTACCAACATGTCAGTCTCTCCCTTCAGCCTGTCAAAGGGCAGTCCACCTCATCTGGATCTCCCCTAAAACTGTTCTGACTGAATCCAACCATTAAGAAGAATCAAAATGAAGCAGTCTAAGTAACAGACTTGACCCCAAGACTTGCATTTCTCCACAGAAAAGCAAAAGCCTGAAAGTTACAACCTGACTATGGTTTACCCCTTTTGAAAAACTTTACATTCTACTAATAGACTATTTAGGACATCTCAGCAAAAAAATGAGTAATTCCAAAGCCAATGAAATATATCCGATTACTAAAATTAGACTGTTTTTTGCAAAAATACATGTCCTTAGAAACTGAGCACAAAAGATTTAGTAAGTTTTTTGAGGAAGTAGTTTTGCCGCCATCAGACCATTTCACATAGTTGTATAACCCAGTTTACCAGGAAACACTTCCCCTCTGACCCACTGCTATTACAAGGTTTAGCCTCTCTTCATCAACCCAGTCCCATGCTTAAACTATGGGTAAGCATCATCATACCTTCATTAAACCTTGATCTCAGAAAATTTGAATGGAAAAAAATAGGGCTGTATTTTCACTGAAGTGACAGGACCAATGCAGTAGAAATAAATACTTATTTGTTGTAGGTTAGTCAGAAAGTACATCACCAGCAGACTAATTACCGTAACACAGAGCTCCTAGTAGGTTAATTTAGCCTGCTTTTCTAAGTGCCATGGCAATCCATTCTGGAAAATGTAAATAGGAATGCACGGAAGTTCTAGAGGATAGTCTGCCTATGCCTACATCTAAATAGGTACATTACAGAAGTATGTTCCTAGAAAGGTTAGTAACTGCCATTAAGGAACTTTATCTGACCTCTTTGTCACTTGTGCATTCAGTATACATTCAGATTTTTAGGTCCCAGTGAACATCATCTACTACCTTATGCTTATTTTCAAGGTATCAGTCTAATTAGAATAAGTATAATTAGCAACTTACTCCACTGCATTACTGTTTTTCCATCTTTAGTGATGTCCCATTGGAATATGGCATTTACTCTCTTTACCAATTCATTTCCAATCTCTTTTATGCGACGACCAATTTCTTCAAACACAATGTCACTCTGCAGCCCTGCAGTCTTAAAATAAGAGAGTGAGCATGAAGAATTTAAAGCAGAAACTCTGTTTAAAAAGTACAAAATATGTCTATTAGTTCAAGCACTGTGTGCAGGAAAGTCTCTATTCCAGAATTACTAAATGCAATTGAGATTTCTTCCACTATAAACAATCACCTCTAGCAACTGTCAGCATTAAAGAGTACATTCAAGCAGAAAATGCTTCATGGACTCTTTCTTGAGAATTATTTCAAATCTTGCTTTTGCAGTTTTTGTCATTTATCACTACAATTTAAGATATGTTTTATAATCAGGGTTCTAAGGGCTTATAAATTGCACTTTATTCCCTTTAGAGGGTAAGCATTACCGCTTTTTCCACGGTGAACACCATGTTAGTTTTTAGAAAAGGAAAACTGTTTCTAGCAGTACACTAATTTGACACAGAAGATGTTCAAACATACTGCACTAAGAACACAGTCAGAACTCCAGTGTAGACACAATGTGTTTATCATTCAGGAGTGGGATTAGCTACATCTACATTTTCAACTTTTCCAAACTCATACTATTTTGCAAGCCTTTCAGTGTCTTTCTTTAACAAATATTTGTAGTGAATAAAATGCTACACTTGAAGAAGCTGCTCTAGTGACATTTTTCATCTAACTGGAACCAGAGTAAGGAAGCTCTCATAGCTTTAGTTGTTCTGCTGTACCTATCCATACACCAGAATACAATACTCCTCACGCTGCTATCTTGTCACCTCTTTGGTTAAGCCTAACATTCCCCATTATATAACAGAGTTCCCAATGACATCAAATTTTGCCAGTCTTCAGTCACACAGGCTAGTTTCCCCTGGTGGATGTCTGCCTCTGTCAGAAAACTTTTGCCAAAGCACCTTAATTTCTCAGAGCAAGTTTAAAGAAAAAAAAAACCTGCTCTGCCCATGTTAAAAAAATTAAAACATCTATAACTATTTCACTGAAAAGTTCTAATGCTTGTATATTTGAACTTCAAATGCAGATTTCGCAACATTTCAGAATGTCAGAGGACTAAACATAACCAGCAAAAAGAAACAGCTTCCAGGAATATATCACAAGCTTTGTATGAATATTACTATCAGTACTTCATATGCATTACATTTTCGTCCTTTGCAGGCAGAAATCAACAGGGTAAAAAAGATAATAGTTTATTAAGGCAATGCATTGTGCACCCATGCCTTTTAGACCACCTTAAGAACCCAGGACATCCTCAGCATTGCATGTACAATTCTGTCTTTTGTGGCAAGTCCAGTACTCAAGGCTTGATGCATGCATGCAGAGGATTTTTTAAAATATATATAGTACAAAGTGCATAGCATGTGTTAGGACTAACCACATGCACAAACAGACATCAGAGCCTTCTTTGAAAATGGTTCAATGACAAAACTGTTCTTTTCTATGAGTACACTCATTTCTATTTGTTCTGTTCTTCTAATGCCTTCCTGCCACTCTCCCCATGTCTCTGTAAAAACTGAGAAAGAAAGGTCACACACTTTTACAACTTAAATTGAGTTTGATCTTCAACATCTACAAAATAAAACCAAAATGCTTTACGGGTACAGCCCCAAATTATAGGGGAGTAATTTCAATCTTAAGTTATGCAAGTGCTCAAAACTTGTGGCTCTCACTGGTGCATGCCTCTCTTGTTCTGTAACATACAGCATGATGCTTACCCTAACAGTTCAATTGGCATCAAGCACTTCAAACTTCATCAGCCATCCTGTGTATCTTAAAACGTCTGTATTTTCCCCCTCAAATAGATCCATGAACCTCTGTATCTTAATGTGTGTGTGTTCACATCTCTGACCTCATACACTCATCTAAGTACTGCAAATAAGACTGGTAAGTGATCTAAGTATTTTTCCTGTGTGGGTTTTTTTTTTTTTTAGTTGTTTTGTTTTGTTGGGTTTTTCCCCCCCCAAAAAATAAAGCCTAACTATGCTGCTTTGCAAGTTAAGAATTCTATTGCTTCCCCCTACCTTCAAAGGCTCCCGAGCAGAAGATTTATCCAAGGCTGGTACTATGTCCACGTAGCCCCCTGCAATAGCAACTTCTCCAGTTTC